AGACGAAAATGCAAACCCAGGATCTTCACCGAGTTTTTCTTCCACTTGCAGCTTGGCCACTTAGCTTTAGCAGCAAGTCAAGTGCCCAAGTCTGGTAGCAGAGTGTCAACCCAAAGCTAGGTGTTTTGGCTCATTCTCCAAATCTCATTGTGTTACATCACTGCCACCTATGTCCCTGTGTTTGACCTAGTCTGTGACCCTCAGCCTACTCATCCTAAGATAGTTAGCTATCCTTTCTAGCCTTGGTTTCTTCTTTTGTGAGCAGGAAGAGCTAGCCTGTATAGAGAACCCACAAGGACTCTTTCAACTAGAAGACAGTGATTTTTCTGCTGTTTTCACCTTTAAAAAACTGCCCCACTGAAGCACTTTGCTGCTTTCTGCTCCTCTGGGGAGAGCAGCCCATGCACATGGAGCGTATATTCCTTTTCCCCATCATCTCATCATTTGCTGCCTCAATTTTTATCTTAAAAGTGCAGGACAGGCTGAGAACCTTAAAAATACTTAGAGAAACAAAATTATAGGATGTTCCCAGTAATGAAGAGTGCACATTTTGCCTGCACTTTGGGAATTAATAACTCCATTTCCTGCCTGCTCTCATTCATTACAATTTTAATGCTTAAGCACTTACCTCCACTTTTATTACCTATGACTGGCATAAAGTAAAAAAGCATTCATTTCCTAAAAATAGGCTGCTAAAATGAGGTTGTTTTGGCACTACATGCTAGTTGATTTAGTGTGCTTCTTTTTGCAGGGTCATTTATCTTCTCTTTATAACCATTGTTCAGTGAAATCAGTATAGATTTGAATGATGTATAACAAAGTACCAAAAGTCATTTAGGCTTATAATCAGTAAAATTTTAACGAAAAGAAATAATTATTAGATTTGGAAGAGACCTTAAAATTGGGAGGACATTTATTTATTTACTTTACTGATGGAAAGTTAAGTGGCTTTCCCAGAGTGACATGACACACTGTTAATTAGTTAAAATACTAAATTGAAAATCTAGATTTTTATAGTCTTGTTCCAGCATTCATTCTACTAAAGCCATTCTGGTTCAGATATTCTGAGGTGGCTTTATCCGTTAGCAAAGTGAAACTGCCATAGATCAATAATACAAAGTGCCCTCTTTTTACTTGCTTTATGTGTGCCAACAATTCATCAAGTATTTGATTAGTAAAGATATACCAGCTGTATTTACTTACTGACTTGGTATTACACAGCTCCAGCATAGTTTATGGGTACTTTTTTTTTGTACTGGGATTAAACCCCCAGGTGCTCTACCACTGAGCTATATCCCCCACCCTTTTTATGTTTTATTTTGAGACAGAATCTCACTGAGTTGCTAAGGACCTTGCTAATGACCGAGGCTGCCTTCAAACTTGTTATCTTCCTGCCTCAGCCTTCCAAGTTGCTGGGATTACAGATGTGTACCAACATGCCCAGCTAGTTTGTGGATACTCTTAAGGATTTCATACACACAGTTCTTGATCTCAGTACTATCAGTTTTCTGGAGCCTCCATTTTTTGCAATCACATGTTATAAAAACAACCAGTCAGAGGTGAATTAGGGAAAATCAATTCAGTTTGTGTCTTATTATGTGATAAGCAGTCTATTCAAAGTCCTTGAGAGAGAAGGGACTAAAAGCATTCTTCTCAAAACTGAGAGGGCAGGGCTGTGGGGGTATGCTCAGTGATAGAGTGTCTGTGTAACATGCTTACGGCCCTGAGTTCCATCCCCAGCACCAAGCAACAAAACAGAACAAAACAACAACAAACCACACACACACACACACACACACACACACACATGCAAAACAAAGAGGGCAAAGTGCCTATTGTTTGCTATCCTGCACTGTTTCCCCCACCTCTCAAAAGAGGAAGAATTAGCAACACATGAGCAAAGATTTCATGGCTCTAGCTGAAGCATTTATGTAGGAAATATTTATCATTCACCTCTTTGTAGCAGGTGCAGTGCTGAGTGGTGGGGTGTATATTGTTGAATGGAAGAACTTAGTCCTATCCTCCTAAAGCTCTGGGTTTAGCAGAGGTGACCACACAGATGGTAAAACAGTAAGCAACAAATGTACTGGTTAAGCATCTCTGACCTGGAAATCCAAGTTTGGAAATATTGCAAAACCTGAAACATTCTGAATGCCACAATTGGAAATGACCTTGAATGACATGTCACAGTCAAAATACAAGTGCACTAAAAAATCATATAAATTTACCTTCAGGCTGTGTGTATACCAAACATACATGAATTTTGTCTTTTATCTTGACTTCCAATCCCAAGATAAATATCTCATTATGTAAAAGCACATATTTCAAAAATCCAAAAACATCCCAAATCTGAAACACTCTTGGTCTCAAGCATTTTGGATAAGGGATGCTCTATCTATATTAAAAGAAAAAAAAATGACATAATAGCAAAAGAAAAACCTAGACTTCTGTGATAAGGTATAGTGGGAATGGGGCCATCTTGCCTCAAGGTCTGGGAAAGACTCTTGAGGAGTGATATTTAAAAGAAAAACAGAAGGAGCCAGCAGCCCTATAAAGAGCCAGGGTGGTAGACTGAACATTCTGGGAATAGGGGACAAATTGAAAGGTCCTATGGCTAAAAAATAAGGTTTAGGGTTATTTTGGGAACTGAAAGCCTAAGATGACCAAGGGAAAGAGGAACAGAAGGTGAGGTTTCCCGGTATGGCTTCTTTTGGAGACTGGTGGTGGTCCCCCAGGCTGCAACATCTGGGGCTGCTGTAACACTAACCATCACAGAATACCACTTCTCTGGCTAGGCCCCACCTTGGAGAACAGCTGGCCCTATGGCCCTATGGCCCTCATAGTCCTTGAAGCCAATTTGAGAAGTTCCCTGATTGCATCTCACTCATTCCCCCTTACTGCCAGGCGGTATCTGCTGTCTTGTGCTTTTCCCCCCAATGTGGGTTGGGCTGGTTCACTGCTTCTGCCACTGTTGTCCTTCCCTGCCACTGTTTTTTGTCTTCCCACAGGCAGCATCTCTGACCTTTCCTGGTCGGTGTTCCAGCATTCTCCAACAGTTGTCTGACTGAAGTAGAATACTTTGCTTATGTAACCAGTTCACAAAGGAGTGTTGACTTTATGTTCCTATTTGTTACAAATGCTCCACTGCTACAAAGCCTCTGTTTCTATTTCAGTCTCTTCTTTGAACTAGTTTGAAAGGGATTTGAGAGAAGGGGCTGGGATAGAAAATGAGCTGAGACACACTCCGGGCTCTGTACTTAGAATCTCCCTCTCCTTTTGTGCCCCCCATCCCTGCTTCAGCCTTTTCCCTCTTGTGTAACTTGTGTAGAAATATGTCTTCCTAGAAATGCCCATATCCCTAAATTCCATTTTCTTCCTCCTCAAATTTGAAGATATGAGCTGGGCACTGTGGCTCATGCTTGTAATCCCAGCAGTTTGGGAGGCTGAGGCAGGAGGATCTCTAGTTCAAAGCCAGCATTAGCAAATTTGAGGCACTAAGCAACTCAGAGTGAGACTCTGTCTCTCAATAAAATACAAAATAGAACTAGGAATGTGGCTCACTGGTTGAGTACCCCTGAGTTCAATCTCCAGTACAAAAAAAAAAAAAAAGATATGCCTGGACCTGAGAGTGACCCAACCTCTCAAAGTTAGGATTGTGGCCCTTACCCCAATCTTGGAGCCAAATCATAACTTTGGGATTTTAGAATGGAAATATGGTGTGCTATATAGCACCCTGCAGTCAAATAGTATTTCTGTAGCACAACATATAAATATTCATATTCATATGAACACTGTAAATGGTCTCATGTCAATTCAATTTTGCATCTAAATGAATTTGTCACACTTAGAAATGATTTCAGTTTTTAGATTGTTTGGGGATTTGAAATTATAGATGAGAGATTATGAACCTTTACCCTCACGTATACATACAATAACACAGTACTTTTGAATTTCCCAGAGCTATTATAAACATTCATTTAAAATGAAATATTAGCTCTTCACTCCCTGCCCATTAATCTATCTGAGTTAAGGTGACTTCTGTTCTTTCTCCCTATCTGTGGAGCTTATCATGAGTGAAGTTGGTGGTATGCAAGGGCATATACTGGTTCAGCATCAGTTCTTATCCCAGAACAGCTATACCATCTGGGATGGACAGATGGACATGCCACAGGAAGGCAGCGGGAACCTATAGCAGCTGCTATTCAGAGAGGCAATCACTCTTAAGAAGTCCCTGCAGTTTGGCCACGAGCTTCATTGTGGATGCCTGGCACACAACCTCTGTTCAGTGTGGTGACTTACATGCAGACGGGGAATAAAACACTCTTTAAAGCCAAAGCTTGAGGGCAACCTTAGGGACATCAGCTGCTACTGACGCTGGCAGCAGAGAAGGACCTCTATGCACTGATACACTTGATTCTTATGGCCCTTTTAAATGCCTTCTTCCCCAGTATAGAGTGTTAGAGTTAAATGACAGTAAATTTGTATGTTGTTCCTATTAACCCATGTTTCTGTACATACACTTTACAATAAGAAATATAAAGCTGGGTGTGGTGGCACATGCCTGTAATCCTAGCCACACGGGAGGCTGAGGCAGGAGAATTGCAAGTTCAAAGCAGCCTCAGCAACAGTGAGATGCTAAGCAACTCAGTGAGACCCCGTCTCTAAAAACAAAAAAAAACAAAAAAGGGATGGAGAATGTGGCTCAGTGGTTGAGTGCCCTTGGGTTCAATCCCCAGTACCAAAAAAAAAGGAAAGAAAAAAAAAATAAGAAAAAGCAGAAAATCAGTTCCGTGCTGGTCAGGCAAGCCTTTTCTTCTTTAAATTCTTCTCAATTTTTTTTCCCAACAAGAAAATATATTACTTAATATTCCATCTGTAATCTTAAGCAGAAGTACCCAAAGTAGAAGATGAAATTGGGATGTTTTCAGTGTTCTTAAAATTCTTTGAAAAGTAGTTTGAAAACTTTAATTTTTCTCTCTTCACTATTGTTTACATTCTAGAAAATGAAGAAGTCAAGGAAACGACTTTGCGAGAGCTTAAAATGCTTCGGACTCTCAAACAGGAAAACATTGTGGAGCTGAAGGAAGCTTTTCGTCGGAGGGGGAAATTATACCTGGTGTTTGAATATGTTGAAAAAGTAAGACATTGATTGCCAGTGTACAGATTTGCTTGTCCATTTCAGATATTATCGAAGAAAGTATTATTTAGTATAACTTGTCAATGTACTCATAATCTAAGCCTTGAAAAATGAAAATATTATCTGTAATTATGTCCTGAAATATATTTAAGGATTTCATACAATTTAACAGTACAGAGATAACCTCAAGTTTAAATAATATACCAGTTTGTATTCTGACATCTTAGAATCTATGGTCTAACAACTTATTTTTAGACTTGATTTATTTTAATTAAACCTAAACCGAGTTTCTGAAAGAGAAACAGGAGAATTAACAAATGATGGTCCCGGCGATAGAGGTAGATCCCACCACGCCTGGATATACGGGGAGCTTAAATCAGACCTGGGGTGGTAAATGTGCAAAGTAGCCTTTTGTGAACTGCCAGTGCTTGGGCTTTATGTGAAGGAAGGGGGCCTGCCAGGAAGCCTAAGGGGAGGCTTGAGGCAGTAGATGAAACCAGGAGTGAGGAATTAGAAGCATGGAAAAAAGAGGAAAAGCAGGTGTTGTTTGAATTGACTGTATACTTGCCTTAGCACTTAAAAAAAGAAAGAAAGAGGGCATTTGTCTACCATGTGTAAGGCACTGGGTCAGATCCTCAATACCACATAAAAATAAATAAATAAAATAAAGGTATTGTGTCCATCTATTAAAAAAGAAGAAGAAGAAAGTTATTAGTGACATTTTAAATAATGTGACCGAAAGACAGTATACACTACAGTAATGTATATTAGGTGCCTTGGAATTTTTGGAGAACAGCTTACCCTCAGGACTTGGTGATGGTCAAAACTTAAATACAATAGTAGAGGAAACATGCCATAGAAGCCTTTTGGAGGTTTCCTAGATGAATAAATAGGTGGCACTTGCTGATATCCTGATATTTTCTAATGAAAATTGAAGTTGGAGGAGTTGTTTGCTTTAGGTCAATTCCCAGGTGCTTGTTATCCCATGACAGAGCATCACTGCCATTGTCATTATCAAATTGGAAGCAGTGTTGTCAAGATGACTGTCCAGCAGTGCAACTTTGAATTCATTCAGCCATTACAAAAAAGTTTGTGAAATAAACTATATATGTCGTAATTTCATTACTTGCTAGCAAAACTTCAAAAATACTAGGTTCTTTGTCATTTTAAGCCACGGCTTTTATGTTTCTTTTCCAAAATCTGTTGGAAGTTTCTTTTTCTGTGTTAATTTAGGTATTCCCCTAAGGTACTTCCCCCCCCCCCCAAAAAAAAAAACTAAAAGTTGATTAAAAAAAAAAAAAGGAAAAGTTATAAGAAAAGGATTGCTATGCTAGGATCCCAGGGAAAATCAGATGCTATTTATTTTTTAGTTGTCATACAGTTGCAGTTTTCACTGCCAAATAATAAAATTTCAACAAATCTAGTATTTCACTATTTCTTTTCTGATCTATTTATGGTGATTGCTCATGATAATGTCACTGTAGTAGAACAAACTGAGAAATCACCTCTGTGTATTACCTCCTGGGTGGGTAATTTGGCATGTTTGAGAGCTCTCTCCTGGTAAGTGTCCAAACTGCTACCAGAATTGCAGGCTTCTGATGCTCAGGCCTGGGCCTTTTCCCCTGCCCTAAGGTTCTTAAGTGGAAGGTGACCATCACACCTGCTCATTAGTGTCAATGCCTAACAGTTAACAGTGTGTCTCAGGAGGGCAAGGAGATAGCAGAGACCCTTGATTATAATGTCTTCAACAAAATAACAAATTCAAAGGTAAGCAGTGCAGGACTGGTATGGCAGCTCTGCTCTATAGTTTTAGGAACTCTGGTGGGCTGCTTCTGCCCTTTTTGCCCATTCCTGAATATGGCCCTTATCTTTAAGGTTAGAATAGATCTCCAGCTGTCATATGCCATTGGCCAGGGTGTAGTCGCATGGTCACACTGGCTGCTTGGCAGAGAAGAAATGGATTCTTCATTCTGGGCAACTAGTTCTCCAACTGAAAATTTTATCTCTTTGGAGTAAGGCAAGAATAGCTATCAGGGGACAATATCTCTGCCATTGAGGACCTAGGGTGGAATATGAAATGAGGGATACAATTTGTTTTTGTTTTGTATATTACAAAGCCTTCCTATTTCTCCTGTGTATTTGGGACCTCCTATGTATTTGTTAATTGAAAAAGGCAATTTAAATGGAGAATCACTAAAAGTGATGCATATATTCTTTCAACATTTTATTTTAACTCAAAGCATAAATATACACTTATAATTCTTTAGAGGTGAGTTAAGGCCTTTTGCATATTGCTTTTCTTATTGAAATTCCAGATGGTCTTTCTTATATATATATCATACTCATCATGTACCTTTAAAGTGAAGCAAAAGCTCAAAAACACAGAGCAATCTCACTACAGAGTCCTTCAGTGTTTATGCTTACTACTGCCAGCACCTGTCCCTTGCCAGTGTTTTGTGGTTTTCCTTCATTAAATCTTTCTAAAGTATTCAGCTTCATTTTCTTACAAACAGCAACTCCCTGTTTTAAAAAAATTTATTTTCATTGGTTGATCATTTTATTAAAATAGCAAGTGAATCTGTTATAAGTAGGTATAAGAATAAACACAACAGATAAGTATACAACTTATATGAACAAAATTGTGAAGCTGTATTAGAGCAGTGGTTTTCCATCTTTTGGGAGTGGTGGTGGTGGTGGGGACAATGCCAGGGATTGAACCCAGGGCTTCCCACATGCTAGGCAAGCACTCTACTATATCCTCAACCTGTTTTTAAAAATTTGAGACAGGGTATTACTAAGGTGCTCAGTCTGGTCTTGAACTTGTGATTCTCCTGCCTCAGCCTCCCTAGTGGCTGGAATTACTGGCATGTGCCACCACACCTGGCATCCTCAGGACTCCTTTATATACTCTGAAAGTTATTGGGAGCCCTCAGTACTTTTTATTTATGTCGGTTTTATCTATTTATGTTTTTCATATTAGAAGGCAAAACTGAGCAATATGGGGCTTTGGGTGTGGCTCAGTGATAGAGCTTTTACCTGGCATCCGGAAGGCCCCAGGTTCAATTTCCAGCACCACACACAAAAAATACAACAAAACAAATAAATAATGATAAACCTGTTAATTTTGACATAAATAAATGTGTATGTCAGTCATTCTTTCAAGTAAGATATGGTCTTCCACACACACACACAAATAAACCAACTATAAATAAACCAGCTTGCGTCTCATCTCAATCACCCAAACACTTTGCCTTAAGACAGTCATGGTCTATGGTCCAGATGGTACATATGCAGCAGAAGAGCTCTATGTGCGTTCTTCTTTCTCTTGTAAAAACTTAGATATATACTCTTAAGAAACAAAATTTAGTAAATGTAATATTTTTTACTATGTCATCAAGAATATTCTTAACTAAAACTGCTGTTTTGTTCATTATTATTATTATTATTATTATTATTATTATTATTATTATTATTGTTATTATTATCTAATGGCAAGAGTTAATTGCATTGAAAAATCCCTTGCCTCGATTCATGCTAAGGTACTAGCAGTTTACACATTATTTCATTGTACCATTAATGTAAATGCCAACACAGGAAAAGGCACATATCTAAGTGTTATGATCAATATAGTTTGACTTCATGGGCACTCTGCGAAGTCTTACTGTAGATTGCCAGGACATACTCTGAGAATTGCTATCCTAGGTGATTGCTTACAAACAATAAGGTGTTGTGGGCCTTAACTCCATTGTGGTTTGCAGAAAAAATAGAGTTTAGTTAACCTGGAAATTCAGTGGAAACTGGCTAAGTGAAGATTCTGCTTAACAAATTGCATGAATTTTAAAATGGTCTTAAGATTTTTGAAGATCGAATTGTTTGGGTCTGTGTGTTTTTACTTCTACAGTATTTTTCTAGCCTATTTTAATTTTTGTACTAAATATATTGATCACTTCAATTTTAGGGATTTTTTTTTCCTTAGTACTGGGGATTGAACCCAGGGGTGCCCTACCATAGAGCCACATCCCCAGTCCTTCTTATTTTTTACATTTTGAGACAGGTTCTCATCAGATTGCCCAGGCTGACCTCAAACTTGTGATCCTCCTGCCTCAGGTCTCCCAAGTAGCTGGGGTTATGGGCGTGTGCCCACATCCAGCTCTTTTTTCCTTTTAGAATATTGTTCAGGCCAGGCTCAGTAGCGCACACTGGGAGTCTCAGCGACTCATGAAGCTGAGGCAGGAGGATCAGTAGTTCAAGACCAGTCTTGGGAACCTAGCGAGACTCTGTCTCAAAAACAAAAAGGGACAGGGTTGTGACTTAGTGGTAGAGTGCTTACCTAACATGCATAAGACCCTACATTGAATCCCCAATATTGGGGCGGAGGGGATATTATCCAGGTCTTTCCTAGAAATTTTTAAGAGTTGACTCCAATGCAAGTTTCTATTAAAGACATACAGCTTGCTGTGTTAAAATGACTGCCCTCTCTTTTTACATTGTAATGTCATACCTCTACCTTGTATTGTCTTTCCCTTTACATTATTCTAAAATGATGCTTGAAAGTCTTTAGTAAAAAGTATATACAGTTATTATTTAAGGCAGTGTAGAGAAGTAAAAATAGAATTTCTCATAAAAGAAAATCTCGACTTAATGTACTATCCTGATCTACCATGAGCTAAGTTGTAGATGAGATGCAAAATAAAAAAATACATGTTGTGTACTGGATGGATTATCATTCAAGATACTTTCAAAAATTATTAGAACATAATTTCTGGACCTACCTAATTTTGGAGATTAATATTTTTCTCCAATTTGTAGAATATGCTTGAGTTGCTGGAAGAAATGCCAAATGGGGTTCCACCTGAAAAAGTAAAAAGCTATATCTATCAACTAATCAAAGCTATTCACTGGTGCCATAAGAACGATATTGTCCATAGAGGTGAGTATGGAATTTTTGAAATGGAAAGTACTAAAGAAAACATCAAATAAAATTTCAGAATATTTCTATTTAAATGAAATAACATTTTGAAAGCATAGGATATGAGAAGTCATTCATTCTCCAAGTCTACTTTGTGCCATGTAAAAGACAAATCAGATTTATTTGGGCATTGTGGTGAGAGCTCTGTTTGTATAACCAGATCTGCTCTGAACTATAGAAACACTGGTGATACAAAAGAATCCATTAAATGCTTAACTTGGAGTGGGAGTGGAGGTGGAGGTAGCAGAGGGAGGATGTCCAGTCTTGTGGTCCAGTCTTTTAGACCAGGTAATGTGAACCCCATTAGAGTCAGGCTTTAAATAACCCCTAAGATACTGACCTTTTCCCCATTGGCACTCCTCTGTCATTCACTCTTAGTCCAACAATCTCCAGTACATATCTTTACTTCCTGGTTTTCCTTATCCATTAGTGAAAAGTGTCCATTGTCTGCAGGTTGTAGGCATGATCAGCCTTGCATAAAGACCATAATTATACTTTTATAAACTGTCTTAATTTGTCCTTTACTACCACAAACTGGTGGTTTATACAATAAAAGGGAAATTACTTGCTCAGCATCATCTTTGACTCTATACCATTTATCTTCTCATGATAATCTCTCTTGCATTGCATAATTTTATAGTACTGGGACACAAATGGATACAAAAATGGGCTAAATGAGTGTGTTTATCAGAAAATGTTGCCATACTTAATTCTTGTCCTTGAATTATTAGATAAACGAATACCAGATTTTAATTCACCTATACAAATGCACAAGGATATTACTTTAAAAATAGTCTGACTTTTAAGACTGGCTTAAAGGTTGTATGAAGAATGTCAATTCCTATTATTTCTAGTTTGTTTTCTTACATTTGGCTCTCATAGCAGTTACTACCCTATCAAGGTTGTCAATGGGATAGACATGCCATCTAGTGTCTAGGATAATGATTCTAATAACAGTCTATATATTTTGTTCAAGAATATTAATGAGGGGGCCGGAGTTGTGGCTCAGTAGTAGAGTGCCTGCCTGGTATGTGTGAGACACTGGGTTCAATTCTCAGCACCACATATAAATAAATATGTAAAGGTTTGTCAATAACAAATAAAAATATTTTTAAAAAGAATATTAATGAGGAACTGAGTTAGCTACATTTCCATCATGAAAATGTGATTTGGTTAAGTGTAAAGCTAACAAGTGGCTGTGAATTAACTGTAGATACCATGATTCTGAAATCTACAGATTTCACTATTTTTGCCCTTTCTTCACTTAGACCTATACCATGATACAGATACCAAGTACTGTATGAGATGCCTCCCAAAGGGAGAATTTAACTGCATTTTCTTCAAATTTCTGCTCCTCAATTCCTGTCATATCTACAGGAGGTCTATGGGAAAAAAATTAGAAATCTTACCTTGACTCATTCAGTATTGCTTCAGCATTAGACATTGGTAATTGTGAACCACACAGAAAAGCTAAAGAGATATGTAAACATAGAAATTATTCCTTTCTTGTGTTCCCCCCCTCCAGTAAATATAATGCTGGCTACTTGTGGTCATGTATTTTCTAAGTTATCTTGTGTATGTAAACATTTTCTGTTCTATTTCCCTCCAAAAGTTTACATTAATATTTTATGTGGTAAAAATAGTTTCTTGAAATGTGTTGGTCTAGATTCAGTTATTCTTAAACTCCTTAAAGATTCAGTTCATCCCTTTAAGAGTTAAGGTAGGTTGGGGGTGTGGTTTAGTGGTAGAATACTTGCCCAGCATGCTTGAGGCCATGGGTTTGATCCCTAGGACTTCACACCATCATACAAAAAAAAAGGAGCAAGGGATTGTAGTCTGCATGTTTCTTGAAATTAATTGAAACTTTTATGTACCAGCATGATATGTGTTACTCTGGTACTCTGGTTTTCACTTCCATGGTTTTCTATTCATATTACTCTAGATATGTCTAATTAGATGTTGTCACCATGATATAATAGTGTCAATCAGTAGAACATAGGAGATTTTTACTAATTGCTTTTTAATCTTGATATTCTAGATATAAAGCCAGAAAATCTCTTAATCAGCCACAATGATGTTCTGAAACTATGCGACTTTGGTAAGTTAAAAAGAAATTGAGTCCTGATACAGAATTAATTTAGTGTAACATGTAGTTAGCTTTTAAAGGCATACTAAAATTAATCTTTATTTTTTACTTAAATCAGCAGAGCAATAGTCTGTTGTTCATTCTTTTGTGTTCAAAATTTGATTGCTGGAGGAGTACTAATCTTTCCTTGCTTTAAAGACTTTTATCTGCTGTTTTTAAAAATTCAGTATGTAGTATTTAGTTAATGAGAATTCAAAGCAAATATATGCATGTGTATAGATTAATAAGCCCAACACCTAATAGCCCCAGAAAAAAATTTCTTAGAATTATCACTGTGGATTCCTGGTTTGAATAAGCTAAAATATTTTAAATGTGATAGAAATTGTTATAGGTTTCATCATAACCATAAAAAAATATACGTGTGTGTATGTTCACATTGTGCCCATATAATGGTTATGTATCTATATGGTCAAAGCCATTTTTAGAACACTTCTATTTATTTCTGCTCAATGTTCAATGAATGAGACTAGTAACTGATGTGTACTATTTCAGCTCTTACTTGAATGTATAGGAAAGTTTTTTAGTTGTACTGTCTCCTAGGAAAAAATTGTGTATTATATCACAATTTTTTAATTTTATTTATTTTTATGTGGTGCTGAGGATCAAACCCAGTGTCTCACACATGCTAGGTGAGCGCTGTACTGCTGATCCACAACCCCAGCCCCAAATTTTACCTAATCTTTCTGTTAAAACATAACAGTTGGATTTTAAATTTTTTACATATTTAAATATAACTAAATATAATAACCTCCACATGTAGTTAAGAATATCTCTCTTTATCATAAGCAAGTTAGATTAGATTACATTAGTGCATAAATGGATTGCGCAAATGAGCAATAGAGATTTGTTTTGGAGGGGTGTACCAGGGATTGAACCCAGGGGCACTCAACCACTGAGTCACATCCCCAGTCCTATTTTGTATTTTGTTTAGAGACAGGGTCTCACTGAGTTGCTTTAGCACCTTGCTTTTGCTGAGGCTGGCTTTTAATTAGAAATCCTGCCTCAGCCTCCCGGGCCACTAGGATTACAGGCATGTGCCACTACGCCCAGCAGCAATGGAAAATGTTAAAAATCAGTTTTGTAGAATGACCATTTTGTTCAGTATAGCAATTGGAATCATAACTGTATTTACTCAACACTTTCAAAGAGTTTGAACATTATGAACCTGCTTGCCTGAGAAAAAAGGTTTTAATTTTCACCATAATTTACAAGAAATAGTGCAAAGAACTCTTTCCCCAATTCTTAAAGAAGTTCTTAAGAAAATGAAAAAGAAATATTGAATACTGTATCTGATTAGGTTTTGATTTTGGCATTTTTAGCATATCCTTAGCAGCGTGATTTTTAGGAATGGTACTTAAGTCTGACTTTCTATCCACAATTGTGATTATTACGTGATACTGGGACTTTTTGCCCCTCATATACAATTTAGTATGCATTCATGATTCTATGGGCCACTGGTCTCTTTAAGCTCCAAAGTTACTGAAAATCATAAAGCAAATTAACAAAACAAAAGAGGGGTGGGGTTGTAGCTCAGTGATACATGAATGAGGCACTGGGTTCGATTCTCAGCCCCACATAAAAATAAATAAGTAAAAATAAAGGTATTGTATCCACCTACGACTAAAAAAATATTTTAAAAAAATAGAAATGCAAGAGGCTGGGGATGTAGCTCATCGGTAGTATGCACAAAGCCATGGGTTCCATTTCCAGTACTGCCACACATACACCATTTTTCAAAACTGACAAACACCTAAATTTTTACCTCTGATTTTAATGCTTTGGTTTTTGTAACTGTTGATGATGAGCCTATATTACACTGTGTGAGTTAGTGGGATAATTAGTTTCTCTTGTTGCCTCATTTTGTGGCTATGCTGTGGCCCCCAAACCTCTTGAAAGAAGGTGGGGCAAAAAGTCAAGTTTGTGAGGTAATGAAGATACTCCTAACCTGCTTCTCAATCACTAGGAGATGACAGTAATTTTGGCCCGTTTTGTTTCCATCATTGCCAACTGTTAGTTGTTTACATAGTGGCTGAAACTGTTCAGATACAATAACTATATAAATATCCCTTTAAGTCCCACATAGCAGAATTAATGACCATAATCCCAGTTTAACTTTGACTTATGGCTCCAATGGAGACTTCATTTTGTTCCTAAGATTTGCATTTTTAGGAGCACTGATTTAAAAGTATGCTCTGAATGCTTAATAAAGCATGAGATAACTTCAAAAACATGAATTTCTTTAGTATATAGTAAATACATCATATACTTCAATTAACATATGAATACTTTACTTTTTAAAATAACAAGGACACTTATTAATAAGCAGCTCATTCAATATATCAGTAATTATATTCTTTTGATGTTGTTTTAAAGTATTACTAGGACTGAAATATTTTGCCAACACAAAGTTATTTATTCTTTCAGGTTTTGCTCGGAATCTATCAGAGGGCAACAATGCTAATTACACAGAGTATGTGGCCACCAGGTGGTATCGATCCCCAGAACTGTTACTTGGGTGAGTTACCTTCTCCAAATACAATGATCTCTATGCATGTATTGCTCCTTTATCATTGGCTTTGGGATCACCTATGAAAAATAAGAATTTCAGTTAATTAAATATTTGTCAGTTATAGATTCAGTATAACAAAGCACCTGTGTTGCTGTAGTATGCTGATTTTAGATCTTTAATGAGGGCTGGAGATGTAACTCAGTGTTAGAGTGCTTGCCTAGTGTCACACAAGGCTCAGGGTTTGACTTCCCAGCACCACAAAAACAAAACAAAACAAAAAACAAACCCCCCCAAAAAATGCACCATTTCCTTTGCTCAGGATTCTGGGTATTAATAATTTGAGTGCAACTCCATAGTTCTCTGCTGGTCTCTCTTTAAATCACTCATCTAGCTACAATTAGCTAGCAGGTTATCTGGAGGCTGATTGGTATGTGGAGCCTCAGCTGAGACTGATAATCTTTAATCTGTAGGGACTCATCTTTCGGTAGGCTAAGTAGAATAGAAGGAGAATTCCATGTAGCAAGAAGTAAGCAAAGCAAAGGTACTTTCCAAAACCCTGTTTGCATGACTTTTGCCTCCTTTGGCCAAAGCCCATTTCATGGCCAACCCCTGATTCAAGGTAAGGAGAAATAAATCCCACCTCTTGATGGAAAAGGTGACAGAGCCACATTATAAACCAGCATGTATATACAGATGGAAGGAATTATTACAGCCACCTTTGCTAGTAATCTTCCATGTTAAAATGTAGTTGTCTATAGAGTTTGGCATTCTGGCTTACCTGTTCATTCATTTAACAAATATTTATTGAGTGTCTTTTACATCTAGCCACATTGCTAGACACATGGGGTAAATATTGAACCAGTAGCCATTTTCTTCTGAACAGTGTAAATCCTGTTTTTTGTCAGTGCCCTATCATTCATCTATTAACCAGAAAAGGATCTTCTGACATGGTTCTCCTTTTCTTTTTAATGCGTTTTAACTTTAGAGCCTAAGAGAGGGAGCCCATGATCCTGATCTCCATTACATAGTTTCGGGAATTTTCTACTTACCCTAGTCATAGTATTTTCTTATTTTCCCTAGATTATACCTCCTTCTTTGAGACCACCCAAGAATGAAGAAAAAATTCATAATCTAGTAAAATTTGCCATAGTGGTAATGATGACAAGTATGCAAATTGTCAGTTATCTCTTTTCTTTAACGTGCTATATATGTCCTGGGGTATATGAGAAATTCTTTTTTTTTTTTTAAGTGCTTTATGATTATACTTAGTAGTTGGTTTTATCCCAACAAACTCATACATGCATGGAAATCGATTTCAGTTCATAATCCCCCCCCTTCCCTTTTTCCCTCTTGCCCTCCCCCTTTCTTCTTCCTCTACTAGTCTTCCTTTCACTTGTCTTTTAATTTGTGTATTTGATTGGTTCCTTATGTAATATTAGCCTTCCCTCCCCCTTACCTTTATTTTACTCTAGTTTCTGCATATGAGAGAAAACATTTGACATTTGAGTTTCTGAGTTTGGCTAGTTTCACTTAGCATGATATCTCCATTTCTATCAACTTACCAGCAAATGCCATAATTTCATTCTTTTTAGTGGCTGAGTAGAACTCCATTGTGTGTGTGTGTATCACAATGTCTTAATCCATTCTTCTATTGACGGCATCTGGGTTGATTCCATAACTTAGCTATTGTGAATTGTGCTGCTGTAAACTTTGATGAGGCTGCGTTGCTAGAATGGGATAGCTGGATTATATGGTGATTCCATCCCTAGTTTTTTGAGGAATCTCCAAACTGTTTTCCAGAGTAATTGTCCTAGTTTGCAGTCCCACTCAAGAATGTACAATATAGCAATATAAATTTCTGAATTTTTTTCTGAAGAGCATGACTACATGTTTAAATTATTTTCTGAGGGGTTTGTATGAATGTTAACTATTCATTTCCCAGGGTCTACCAACCATCTGGTAGTACTTCTAGATTCATTGCTGACCTATAAGTGTTACTGGCATCAGTTTTGGGAAACTTTACTATTTTTTTTGAAATCAAAAGCTTGCTTCATCCTGAGAATCAAATGATCATTAGTCACTTTATTATTCCCTCATTTGTGTTGGACGTTCTGGATTTCTGTGCTACTTTTTATTCTTCGATTTAGGATTGATATTTCATTCTGCCTGTGTTTCTTCTGTGTACCATTCTGGACTCATTGAATTTACTGGACACTATTTGCCAATGAAAAAAAGAGTATGAAGTAGATAATTCTCAGAAAACTGAGGTTATGTTTAGAGATGCGTGATAGCTACCAAAAGTAGATGGTGATAGCGCAACTCATTTGAGCTAAATTGACTACTGTTAATCAAGTGATTGTCAAGTACTAGTTGAAGAACTATATTATTTGTGTAAAAATTCCATTGAAATCAGTTGATATTTAGTTTTACATTAAGAATTTTCATTTTTACGTATTCTCAGGGCTTTGTCCTTGACATTCAAAATAGTTCCAGCTGCATAAATTACGCAAATCAGATGACAGAAGAAAAATAGCTTAGTTAGGGTATGTAGAGGTTTTTTAAAGGTTTTTCCATCTAGTACTTAGGATGTTTCTTTCTCTCAAAAAGATATGAAAGAACAATCAGGAATAATACTTTTTGCAAGCTACCAAAAAGATTTAAATGAAGTTTCCTCATATAGTTCTTAAGTTTTTGTGGGAAAGAAATGAAATGTTGCCTTATTGTTGCAGTGATTTGTTACCCTAGAAACATGTTCTGTATAATGTTAAACATGTTCTGTATAATGTTAACAGTGCTTTGGTTTAAAAGTTTTGATATTAAATGTTAATATCATTGTGGCATTCTAGAATTTCATTTCATTTATCATATTTTTTATTTTGGTTTTCTGTTCTTAAAACTTGGATTATTTGCCAGGAATGATTGCACACACCTGTAATTCCTGCAATTTGAGAGGATCACAAGTTCAAGGCCAGCCTGGGCAACTTAATAAAAGATCCTGTCTCAAAATAAAATAAAAAAGGCTGGGAGGCTGGGATTGTAGCTTAGTGGTGGAGCACTTGCCTAGTATGTTTGTGAGGCACTGGGTTCGATTCTCAGCACCACATATGAATAAATAAATAAAATGTAGGTCCATCAAAAAAAAAAAAGGCTGGGGATGTAGCTCAGTGGTAAAACACCCCTGAGTTCAATCCCCAGTGTCAAACAACAAAGAACTTGTATATGTGTTTGAAACTAAAATATATACATGGTTTCTTACCTAAACTACCATAAATAATTTGACTTATAGCCATAGATATTGAGTTATAGGTATAGAGCTGTTTTGGGAATGCCTAGATTTTCATGGATGGTTTCTATTTGTAATAGCAACTCTCCTCCTAAAGCGCTCTGGTAAACTCAGATCCTAGAAAAGAGCTTTAATCCCTTTAAATAAACTAATAATGCTTTTAGGAAGGTAGCTAATAGAAAGCCCTGGATATGTAGAGTACAATTATATTCAAGTAAATAATACAATAGAACTTAGCACCATTTGAGCTATTGGATATTGTGACACTAAGTAATCAAAGGTTAAATAATATTCACTATTTGTTTAAGAAGACACACAAGTCAGTAGTACATTTTAATACACTGGATAAAATGGATAAAATATAACTTTTTGACATTTAGAGAGCTAAAGTATAATTTAATTACCTAGAATTTATATTTCTTGGGAGCATTTTATTTCCCAAGTGAGGTGTTTCTCATCAGCCATGTGCACTATATTAGGATTTATTAAGCCATTCATATTCAAGATATACCCAGATATCAAATTAGTGTACGCTGACTAAATTGCTACTAAACTGACATGTTTATTAATGTAGGTTTATTCACTTGTATTCTGGATTTTTACTTGAATATCCATGATTCCTTATTTTCAGTTGTACTGTTTTCTAGTGGCATTTTAAAATTTCTTAAATACACAAATGTACTTTAAGTCATGAATCTGTTCAAAATAATTTGGAAAGTTTTCAAACATTATATGTCCTCAGTTGTCAAGATAATCTCTCCCTTTGCTTTTTCAGAGCTCCCTATGGGAAGTCTGTAGACATGTGGTCAGTGGGCTGTATTCTTGGGGAACTTAGTGACGGACAGCCCTTATTTCCTGGAGAAAGCGAAATTGACCAACTTTTTACTATTCAGAAGGTGCTAGGACCACTTCCATCTGAGCAGATGAAGCTCTTCTATAGTAATCCTCGCTTCCACGGTCTCCGGGTAAGAGGTTTTGCTAAAACCCCAAATGGAATCAATACAGCTGTACTTAGTTCATTGTTCATTACACAGTGGTATGCTAAGCTGTCCTTTGAAAACTGTTCCCTTTCCCATTATAATGTTTATAATCCCCACTATCCTATTTTATTTCCGGGTCTTATATAGTATTTGTGAATGCTTAAAAAATGATCAGAATTTGAAAGTAGGAACTGCTAATATTTTTTTCTCATTTATAAATTCTAATTTTTCAAGATCTTTTTTAGCATATGCATTATTATATTCTAACCCTCAATTATCTTAGACTCTTTATTGAAAATATTAAGCATTCCTGAAAGATACAGAATGTATGTATGCTTACTACTTACTTGAGCAAATTTGTTTATAGTGATTTGAGGAAGACCATGAATACTTGCATCCTGCAGATTTAAAGGTTTTTGTTCCAGCAAATATTGCTTGTCCATTGACAGTGAAATATCACATATTCTTTACAAACCCATGTGTTGTCTTAAGCAGCCTTTTCTAAACTTGATAAATTTGTACAGAGCTTGTTTTCTTAGAATATGCCAAAAAGCATCTTAGAAAGTATGAACTTTCCCCAAATAAGGAACACCTACCTTATAAAGGCACTTCATTGGAGTAGCTAGTGAGTTACAGGCTATCCCTCTCTTCCATCTACCCCAAAAGCAACTTTTTAAGTTTTCAAACATTTTTTGGACCCACATGTTAGTTGGTGGAAGGTATAAAATTATCTTTCATCACTTCCTTTCTTTCTCTTAAATGCATCATTCTCAAACCATGTTATCTTGCCATTTGTAAAGCACTTCGGGTTTTTTCTTTGACTTCTTAGATCTCAGTTAGTTTTCCTTTGGAGAACACCACTGTTCACACCTGGGTGCCCAACACAACCCCAGCTCCTGCTGGGTTTCTCTTTTATCTCCTTCCTGCTTTCTGTCTCTCTTCCAAATGCATCTGAAGTGCCTCAGGCAAGTTTTTCTCCTTCTATTTTTGCTTTTGTAAGCCAAAAATTAGCCAAATTATGCCATTAATTAGGGTACAAACAGCACACATGGTTTACCAGGTTAGTTCAACAGTTATTGAACATTTGTCATACTAGATGTTGAAAACATGACAATAAATAAAACTTGCCCTCAGTCTTGCAGTAAGGGAAATCTATTATATTCACAAATAAAGTTAGTCATATCGAATTTGTTTCAATGAGAATTAATCCATACTCCTTGCCATAGTCTGTGAATCCTTGCCCAATCCATGTCCTCTGGATCCCTGACTTTGTCTTAAACCTATCTCCAATCCCCTCTTTCTCCAAATTCTATTTTTCTGTTATTTGGCTTCCATAAACATTCAGAGGTTTTTCCAGGTTCATGAATTTTGGGACCTGTGGCTTCTTCTTTTAGGAAGATTGTTCTTCCCTTGCACGGCCTCTTCTCTTTCCATAAATCTCAACTCAAAGAATGCCTCCTCTCTCTGTCCACCCAATATTCTGTACCCTACCTCATCTCTCTCCTCCATAGTATCCTTCTTTGTCATACCACTTATCACATTATGGTATTATTTCATTTGTTGATCAAGTTCTGTCCCACTAGCATATAAGTTCCTCAAGGACGGACATCATCTGTTATCACTGTAGTTAGTTACAGCATCTAACACAGAAACGAATATGTCTGGTGGGCCCTCACTAAACATCTGAGTGATCTATGGATCGAATGAACTGGTGCCATCAGTACCCAAGCTCAGTTTTATTTCATTTCTCTTCTTCTCCAATGCTTCTTTCACCCTTGTCATTTTTACCTGAATTATAGACAGTTGGCTCCCAAACTAATCTCTTGAAATTTCTTCACTTAAGTCTTTTCACATTTCTCAAACTATGCATTTACTTCTATCTCCCTTTTATTTAAAAACCTATGTAGAATTGCTGATAAAGTTGAAATCTTTAGGGGTTAGCATTAAGGAGCCTCCTAGAATCATCTCCACCCTGTCCCTGCCCCCTGTTCTTAAACTACCTTGAACCTCCCACCATTTTCTTGATATGTGGGTTCTGAAATGGCTCATTTCCATTTTTTCTGATGTTCCCAACACTTGCCTAGACTCCAACCAAATCTCCTCTGTCCATAAAGCCTCTTCTAGACTATTCTAGGATGAATAGTCTATATAATAGTCTACATAATATATAATATATATAGCAGATACAACATGGTACCTAGCCTTAATACGCTAAAGAATTAAGGATTTCATACTAAAATAATTATGAAACAATATATTTTACAGGAAAGTATAATATATATTCCAGAACTGTACTCGTTATTTTCTTATACTGCTTTTTAATATATCTCATTATGATTTAGACTGTGATGCATGTCAAACATTCCAGAAAGTTAGAAATCATAGATAAGGATTCATTACAAAGGACTTTATGGAGGATTTGACATTTTAAGTAGATATTGAAGAATGAATAGCATTTAGATTAGAGAGATCACACAAAGGTATTTTCCTCATTTGTCTGTGGTCCTATTTGTTCACAGACCTCCTTGCTAAACAATCTTACCTGTAAAGTGTTAGGTGGCATTTGACAATGCTGCTTATAAATATTCTTCAGGGAAATTGCTGCTTCCATGGCACTTTGATTTTTATAAGCCTTAAATGTTTACATTTTAGTCTGAAAGTGTTTGCGGTATTTCAACTAAATTAGTTCAGTCTCTTTAGAGGTTTAACAACATCCTTTGAGGGGAAAGTTTTCTTTTATGATATCCCTTGAGAATGTCTGCAATGGAGAGCTGAGCACAGAGAGCCTGTGAACTGCAATTGCCGTGAGCCCCATATACCGGTAACTAAAATCCAGCGTATGATGTGCAATTGGATACACTTGCATAGAGAATGGGAAATGCACAAGATGTTGCTCTAACTGTATGGATTATTTGGAAAACAATTGTTGTCTCATAGTTTACTTCCTAGGCTCCAGTGTTAAACTGCTAGTGTTCAAAGCCTGAGTCCACATTTATTATTTGAATGAATTCAACAACTTATTTCGCCATCCTGTGCCTCTGTTTTCTTCATGTGTAAAATAGTGATAATAGAATAACATTTCATAGGGTTGTTGTGAAGATGAAATATTGGATATAAAATCTCTGGGGTAAAGCACACCTGGGTTTTATTCCCAGTACCATAATCAATCAATCAGTCAGCCAATCAATAAAATATACTGGTACAGGGTCTTTATCATGGCATGACAGGCATCTCTCTCTTTGGGCTGATATTTAATGTTCCAATAACATCAAAAGGAACTTCTGCTTCTCCACCTCAGTTTAGAAAGAGTTTAGGTTTGGATCACAGGCCTGGGTGCAAATACTAGTTATGCTGCTTGTTACTTATGTAACTTTCCTTGAACCAGTTATTTGAACTTTCTGATCATCGTTTTCCTCATCTCTAAAGAAAGAATAATAATACCTAAAATGCCTTGCATAGCATCACTTCCCTCAGAAATCAGTTTTAGGTTTTTGCCTGTGAGTCTGTATTAAGTTCATGTTATTCTTTCCTTCTCTATCTGGGAGGTGCTGTCCTACTTTTCTCTTGTCTTCACTTTTTTTTATTCTTCAAACATAGTTCAGATATTACCTATGGGTTCTTGCTTCTATAGCCACAAACTACCTTGATCTCTTTTCTCTGAGCTTCCATTGGAATTTATGTTTGCACAGTGTAGCACTGATTGTTTTCCCAATCATATAATAGATTCCTCAAATGCAAGGTTTAGGTCTTACCCATTTTCTGCATCTCCTGCCCTGCTGAGCAGAGCTTGCAGATGATGTCATAATCACTCTTTAAATAGCCTGTTTGAATTTTACCCATAATTAGTTTTCCTGTCCACTTATTTTTACATGTTTACGGATTTCAGTACCTTGAAATGCTCTTACATTGGTATAAAGGAAATATATATTAAAAGCAAACTTGCCTTCACATTTGGAGGGAGTACATGGCATTGGGCTCTGCCAGTCATATTACCCAGTGCTTCAGCATTCACTCAGATAGTGCCAAGTGTGCGTTAGCACAGGAAAGGGTAGAATATCTAAATAAACTTGACCCCTCCCCTTCATTTTATTAAAAATTGCGTTTGTTAATCTAGGCGCCTATGTTTGCCCCCTGCCTCAACTTACAAAAAGGGAGAATTAAAAACAGTTCATTTTAAAAAGACATTTAAAGCAATTACAGTGTGTGCCTGAATTCACTGTTTCTGCTTCTGATGGCCTTTCAGATTCTGGCCTCCTGCTTCCTTTTTTCTCCTTTGTAAAACTTAGCTATTTTCAGGAATAAATGCTATGTTCTTGAGAAAAAGCGATAAAAATCTTACATTATATCATATTGTATCCCTCCTGTTAGTCCCCCAATTACCATCAGTAATTAAGTAGACATTCTGTGTAAACTATTTTAGAACTTATAAAAGCAGACAATACTCTATAAACTATATATATATAGTTTCAGATTTTATATCTTAGTCAATTTTACATGCTTAAAAGTATTGTCTAGATTTAAATATCATATTTCACTGTGAAGTTTCCCATTGTTTAACATACAGTCCTATTCATTCATACCTGAAATACATGGATACCAAAAGTAATATACAAATATGAATTTGCTTGGATGGGTACTAGGCAATAATTTCTCAACTGCTCCCTTCTGCTCTGCTCACAAGCACATGCACACATGTCCTTCCCCACATGCTGACATTCCTGTTGTGTTATCCTTACAGTTTCCGGCTGTGAACCACCCTCAATCATTGGAGAGAAGATATCTTGGAATTTTAAATAGTGTTTTACTTGACCTAATGAAGGTAGGGGAAATTGATATCTATCTATATGAAAATGTTTTTTGATGTATGGATTCTTTTGTGTCTACATGTGATCATAGCCTGCTTTTATGAATTAAGTGTTTTGTTACTAGATGTAAATTGTGAATAATGGGAGACTATTTCACGTTAAAAGGCATGTAATTTGTTTAAACTTGCAATAAGTTCTGGTATTATCGTAGTTCATTTAGACAATAGCATGAGATCTGTAACTCGTTTTCCTAAGGCAGAGTAATAAAAATCTTCAACACTCAGAGCTGATCAGGCATAAGTTTTTAAACAATTGTTAAAATGAATATTGAAGGAAAAGAGATTCTACAATTTCTGTTATGATATTTAAGGCCTCTTGTAGTTTGTACAGGTATAATCAGTGAACCCAATTCTCCTCTTCTGTGTAACCTCTTCTTCTCTCCCAGATAACTCACTCTTTCTGGCTCTTCTTTAGACACTGGCTACTACTGTGGTGTGAATGTTCCTTGTGCTAGCCCCTTGTTCAGAACACTTCCTGCTCTGAACTACTAAAAACATCCTCTAATTTCTCCTACTAGGTTTTTCTTCCATAGTAGACAGGCAGTTAGCCCTCTGAGCAAAAATTACTTATTTTTGCTTATTTCTCCAGCTTCTGCTGCAGCCAACAAGTGTATAAACAAGCATTGGTTGTATGATAGTAGACCTTCAAAAAATGCTTGTTAATAGATGAGTTTTATTTTATGCCCATTCAGTCAACTGTCAAAATCAGTGGAGGCTACACTGTGTGTGCATAGAACCTTTAAAAGACTTAGCACAGTTGGAAATTGCTGAGCTGCATTCTTAGAACTTCACTGTGCTTTAAACTATGTTAATCTGTGTTCCAGGGAACACAGTGTAAATAGGTGTGGGGGTGGAGGTGGAGGAGGGAGGTGTGGCATTTGGGAAAGGCCACATACCTTATAACCTTTCTTAGAGATTCACAATGTTCATTAACCTGTAAATGGTTTCAGAAATCTCATGTAAAGAAGCATTTCTGTTTCACTCAACATTTCCCAAACTTAATTAACCACTAAAAACTGTTTTTGTATAAAACTCTAAGGCACTAATGTTCTGAATACAGATTGAGAAATGCTATTAAAAAAAAAATAAAAACAACCTCCAAGTTCTTTCAGTTTAATTAGGTATAAATTATCACTTATATCAGTTGGGTTTTGTCAATATATTCTTTCACAGTCAATATTTATTGATCAGGGCCTTAATTCGGTAACTTTTAAAATGTAAATGAGGTAGAAAAATGGAAGTAAATATAATTTCATGTTTTCTGCCTTTTATCTGTTTTTTAGTTAAAAATAATTGAACTTTTTTGTTAAATCATTGTCAAGTGTAATTACCAGTCATCAGGGTGGTACCTGAATCTGAATAAAAGCAAGTACTGAAAAAAAGGTACCACAGACAGAAGTAGAACCATAAATTAGACATTCTAATTCCTGTTTTTTAAAATGAGTTTATTGTGAAGTTTCTTGAATAGTAAATAGTTTTACTGAAATATATATTCAGAGGTGCTCATTATGTCTCCACCTCAGATGACTTTTATAATGTTAACATATTTTTGTAACCTTACATAGACTGAGATATAGAAATTTTTAATACCCTTGAACCCTCCTTATGATCCTTTCTAGGCTTCATGCTCCTGTCCTGCTCTGCCCCCGTCTATTACCAACCATTAACATTGCCTTATTATTATTGAATGGTACATAAATAGAATCCATTCCTTTTGTCTTTTAGCTATTTTTGAAAATGAATTTGAAAAATTAAAAATACCAATTATCCTTTCATGAAGAAATATTCTCTGTGCCATTCCCAAAAGCTGTCTGGATAATTTTGTCTTAGGTAATAGAAGTACCTAAAATGGCCATCTCATCCTGCATCTGTTCATTTCAACCACTTCAATGGGGATAGAAGTCACCAGCATTAATTCAAGCCCTTAACTATTTTAAGAACAGATACAATAATTATGTTGGATCTATTTTATGATGATGATGATGGTGATGGTGGTGGTGGTGAGGGTGAGGAGGATGATGTTTTTCCTCAAAATGCTGAATTTTAGAAACTATTAACTGGGTAAATTTCATATTTTCCTCATGAAGACCTCATCCTTTCAAGTAATTTGAAAATTAACAGCTCTATTAATAAATACAAATGTAGTTTTTGTATGTACAGTAACTTCTACTTGATAACAATAAATAACACTTATGCTAGTAGATATATATACTTTGAATTTAAAAGACTACTTAAGGGTTGATTTTCCTTTCTTTTTTAGCTAGTACCTTAAATGTTGCCATTTTGATGTTAACTGTTGAACTGCGAGTGAGAACAAAATTGTTTTTATATCCTGACAGTTTTTGTTTGATAATAAGAAAGAAAGAATTGAGATGATTTCAGAGTTGTGTCTGAATCAGTATGAATGTAAATCCACTTGCATGTAATCAGAGGTTTGTGTTTCAATAAACAGAATCTTTCAACCTAAAGTGTTCATTTCAGTATATGGTGGAATCAAAAGTCAGACTTTATATGGTGCTAGGTTGAAGGTGCTTGTCTGAAATTGAAATCTGACTTTTGGGGAGCAAATTTCTTCTTGCTGTTTAATAGTGGGTCACAAAGAGATCATCTATGGGCAAAACCAATAAAAATGAGCTAGAGATGGATTTGTGAATGCTACAATTCACCCTGCTTCCCTCTGCTTCCTTCCTTTGACAGGGAAAAGTAAAGAGCAAATTTTAGTGTGCTGTATTGTATTATGTTAAGCTATGTAGGTAATGTTTCTTTAGCTATTTGCTTAATTTGTAAATAAGAATCTCAGTGATTCACTTTTAAAATCCTATTCAGTTACTAATATAAATAAACAATATTTGGAAAAAACTTTTAGTTGTAAAGAATCTAATATATACAATATAAAACAAAGGGCCAGTGCCTTAATGAATAAAGAACACTTACAAATAAAGAAGGATAGATTTAGAAAGGGAAAAATAAAAAAACATAAGAATAAACATGTGAAAGCATTCAGCCTCAATAGTAGTCAAAGATGTAATTTAAAACCACTATGAGAAGGTTGGGTGCAGTAGCACACACCTGTAATCCCAGCAGCTTGGGAGGCTGAGGCAGGAGGATCAGTAGTTCAAAGCCAGCCTCAGCAAAAGTGAGGTGCTACTCAACTCAGTGAGACCCTGTCTTTAAATAAAATAAAAATAGGGTTGGGGATCTGGTTCAGTGGTTGAGTGCCCCTGGATTCAGTCTCTGGTATCTCCCCACCAAAAAAATAAAATAAGTAAAACTACTGTGAAATACTGCCTTTTAAAAATATATTTTATAATTACTTAAAAAAAAAAAAGGAAATGCCTGCTATTGATGAGGATGCCAAGAAATTGGTAGATTCCTACAATTGCAGAGATTCCTACAATTTTGAGACACCTTCCTAGGAGGTAATGTGGCAACATACCAAAAAGAATTTAAAAGTTTGCATACTTAACAGTTCTATCTTTAGGAGTTCATCCTGTAAAAGATTACAATTGTTGTCTCAGAATTAATTATAATAGTGAAAAGTGACCATCATCTAAATTCCCAACAGTAGTAGGCTGTAACTAAATAATGGTATGTTAATATCACAGATTTCTATGTAGTCATTAAAAACGTGGTGTTAGGCTGGGGATGTGGCTTAAGCTGTAGCACGTTCACCTAGCATGCACGGGGCACTGGGTTTCGATCTTCAGCACCACATAAAAATAAAATAAAGATGTTGTGTCCACCGAAAACTAAAAAATAAATATTAAAAAATTATCTCTCTCTCAAAAAAAAAAAAAAAAAGTGGTGTTAAAGCCGAGGATACAGGTAAGCAGTAGAGTGCTTGCCTAGCATGTACAAGGCCTGTGGTTCAATTCCCAGAACTGCAAAAAAAAAAAAACCAAGATTATTTGTTGCCACATTGTTCATAATAATGAAACAAGGAGGCCAGGCACTGTGGCTCGGGCCTATAATGCCTATAATCCCAGTGAGTCAGGAGTCTAAGGCAGGAGGGTTGCAAATTCAAGGCCAGCCTTGAAATTTAAAGAGACCCTGTCTGAAAATAAAAAGGATTGGGCATGTTGTCCAGGGATAAATCTCTCCTGGGTTTGATCTTAAGTATAAAAAGAAAGAAAAAATTTTTCTAAAACTAAAAATAACAAAACAAGGAAAACAATACAAAAAAGGTACATCCATGGAGTTAATGTTCCTTACCTATATGAATGAACCCTTATGGTTGTGTCTCAAGGCTGGGTGTTGTAGCACACGCTTGTAATCCCAGTTTAGGCAGGAAGAGAGCAAGTTCTACAGCAGCCTCTGGCAACTTAGCAAAATCCTGTCTCTAAATAAAAAATAAAAAGGGATGGGGGTGAAGCTTTGTGGTAGAATGCCCCTGGATTCCGTTTCCAGTACAGAAAAGAAAAGGGAGAAAAAATCGTACATCAAGTGGAAAGAGTGGAAAAAAAACCTAAGTACAAACAGTTGTGTGTATGCTACTACTTGGGTAAAATAAAAGAAATAAATAGAATTGTGTACAGAATATAACTATGGAAGGCTGCACAAGAAACTGATGCCCTGCCTCCAGAAATAGGAATTGGGTATTTGAGGGAAAGGAAAAAGATGAAGAATGTGAATGTTTATGTATTAAAAAGATTTTTAAATGTTTAAGTTATATCATAAAAAGTGGTTTTAATGGGTAAGTTAAAAAGGGTGGGATATAAAACTTGTGTGTATAATATGACCCAGATTTTCTAAAAAGGAAATATGTATATATTATATTCAGGAAAAGGCTGGAAGGATGTCTACACAGAGGCCAACGATGGTGAGATGGTGATTTAGATAGTCTTGTTTTTCCTGAACTGTGTTTACTAGATATTCTGCAATGTTCATGTATTTTCCTTTTCTTAAAAAAAAAGTAATATTTTTATTATAATTTAAATTTGACTTTGTAATGTCCAATTCTGAACTTTATTTCCTAAGAATTTACTGAAGTTGGACCCAGCCGACAGATACTTGACAGAACAGTGTTTGAATCACCCTACATTTCAAACCCAGAGACTTTTGGATCGGTCCCCTTCAAGGTCAGCCAAAAGGAAACCTTATCATGTGGAAAGCAGCACGTTGTCTAATAGGTAAATATTCCCTTTTAAGGAAATACAGATGCAGTGTTGGTCTTACAAGTAGGTGGAAGAGGTGGCTGCTAAAATTATGCACTTAGAGAAAAGAAGGAAAGCCCTCTCTATTCAAAAATATCTTCCTTATGCTTATTACATGATTCAGAACTATAATTAAAGAGTTGTGTGGGTCTTAAAGTCTTTCTTATCTTTAACAAGTATATTATGGAAATCTATACATTCTCTGGGAAAGGTAGCATTGGATTAGCAACTCAGGGGGTTTCCAGCTAGAAGATTCTGTATAAATAGCACCCTGGGGTGATACCTAGAGGAAGAAGGATGGGTGGGGGCCCAGGAATTCCTGGAAGGAAAGGAGGATATCAAACATGTGGGTGGACCCAGACCCTAGAACAGTCTTTGCAACTGAACCAAGTAAGCTGACTCTTTAGAAGGGTCTTGTGTTTTTATTCCTGTTTTTTAATTGTTGAAAAAATATTTTTTTCATAAAAATAAAGCCAATGACTTCACAAAAATAAAAGTAAAGTCTGCGATTAAAAGTGGTACTTTTTAGGGTTGGAGTTGTGGCTCAGCAGTAGAGCACTTGCCTCATATGTGTGAGGCACTGGGTTCGACTCCTAGCACCGCATATAAATAAGCAAATAAAATAAAGGTCCATCAACAACTAAAAAATATTTTTTTAAGAAAGTAGTACTTTTTAAATGCAATTTTTCAAACACACACACACACACACACACACACACACACACACACACACACACCCCTCCCCCTGGAATTAGATCCGTCAGGTTGTCTTTTTAGACCTGATACCCCCAATTCTGCTGGCTGCATTTACAGGAGGAGAGAGAGTGTAGCCGGTCTCCGTGTATCTTCCAGAAGCTGATCTTGGCATCTGGGATTATTAGATTTTGAAAGATATAGTTTCTTTCATTAAATACTAGAAACAGATGCCCAGCATGTGCAATGCCCTGGGTTTGATCCTCAGTACTGCAAAGAGAGAAAACAATAATTCTTAATATGAGGCCTTTTTTAAAAAAAATTAAACCCTCCCCCCAATTTTTCTTCCACATAGAGCATTTTTAAAAAACATTTATATTTTTTTTAGTTTTATTTAGGCGGACACAATATCTTTATTATTATTATTATTTTATTTTTTAATTTTATGTGGTGTTGAGGGATTGAACCCAGTGCCCCACGCATGCCAGGCAAGCACACTACCACTTGAGCCACATCCCCAGCCTGAGCATTTGTTTTTAATAGACTGGAGATTTGAAGGCTCAAGATTTGGTACTTGAAGGTCTGGGAGGACATTCATCAATTGGTGATAACCAGTTGTCCTATATTTGCTCTGCTTAACTACAATCATGTGATTGTATCTCAGAACTGTTTACTCTTGTTTAAATGACTGATTTCAGTTGTTTCCCCTTGCATCTTACAGACCATTCTTAACTCGTTTGTTGTTTGCTTCCATGAGATTTTAGTACACTAAGTAAGGAATAGTAGTCATCATCTGGTTTCTCCTTTGCATTTGGCAGGTTCAGATTATTTCTGTGTCTTCTCTGGGGTCACTCTCAATTCAGGTTCTTTTGTTTCCCTTATACCTGAATTGTCTACAGTGTACATTTACAAAGAAAATTTCCCAATTACATAAAGTACAGTAGACTGATGATAAATTTGTGATTTGTGCCATAGACATTAGTAGTGTAACCATATTTGGAAGGGGCCTGTGTCATTTGTCTAGTAGTGACTTACTTGAGAGAGTTCTTAGAGTTAACCTCAGTGAGGACCTGAGGCTGTCCTTGGGAATCCTCTTTAATTGTCTTTTAAGGAGGTGTTTGCAGGAGGTTCAGAGGAGTTGATTTGTATGAATCTTTGAGGAATCCTCCCAAATCCTCTTTTGAAGTATATGACATTAGAAAATAAGTACATAGGTATTTCTGAAAGAGTTTATTTCCAGGTCTTGACACTCTGTTGAATATCTTAAATAAAAAGTCCTAAATGGTTTCTGTTAATAATCCTACCTCATCTTAGGGCTTTCTTCTCATTCTTGTCTGTAGTCCATACTTACTCCACAGAATAAATAGAGTTCTTGTCAGGAACACTAATTCTAGCTTGGATCTCATCACAGACCGTGGCTCCTTTGGACTTCTCAGGATATTTTCCACTCACAATCACTATATCCATTGGTCACTACTTACATGTTCCGCTGCCCTATCCCTGGAAGCATATACATTCTCACATACCCTGTCTTCCAAGTTTTTTCTCTATAGGCAGCAATGGACTCGGGCATTACCCAGTCCCCTGCCTGTCTCATTGGGGCTCTCCTTAGATTCATTATCAGAGGAAAAACCTCCGATTACATGATGGTGCTTTAGCATGTCCTTGCTCTTCTCTCACTGGTTCTGCATTGCCAATGTTCCCCTAATAATGTAGCTTTGTGCCTTTGTGTTTCCTTTTAAAACTTATTTTACATAATACACTAACCAACCATCCATCCATTCATCCATCCATCCATCCATCCTGCCAATCATTTAAGAGCAGTTTATATATAAAATCTCCTTATGTGGTTGGCAGTTTAAAACAGATTCTTTACAGTTGTATGTCAAAGAGATCTATGGAATTTTCAAAGCTGTATTTTATTGTTATGCTTTGGCAGAGCTCCAATTTGAAGATAATATGATGCCCTTTCTATATAGGAATTATACTATGTACAAAGCTCAATTACTTCCAATTAATCAGAATAGCGATTTAGACTCTTTGTACATTCATGGAAAAACCTAAAACTTTGACAAATGTTTCTGCCTTAACTTTTAGCCTTTCTTTTCAGTTAGAAATTATATCTTATGTTGCTGTGAATATGTATAACATCCCATGTTGAATTGTGCTCAACATTAATAATAGTGATTCTAGCAGTTCCAGAAGCTGACAGAAGCTCTAGCAGCTGTCTTTATTGTTCTCTGTCCTCTTCTTGTCCTTTTTTAGGTTTGAGACATTTCCCAATATCTGCATGTTTTATCTTTCTGCCATTACTCTCTCTAGGCCTGAAGGAGAAAGAAAGGAAATAGGGTTCCAAGGCCTAGTGACAGCCGGAGCTTTGCAGGAGGAGCTACCCTGCAGAAGCTGTCATCTGGAGGGAGGGACACAGCTAGGATCTGAGTCAGGGCATCACTGCCAGGAAGGAGCAAGGAAGACCTCCCCTGGCTTCTTTCTCCTCTGGTCTTGTGATACTTTCCCCTGCTAAGCCCTATTGGAAGGTCACCAGTTTGCAAGCCTAGGGAACACAGTCTGGGCCCAGGACCAGCCAGAGGAGTGAAGAACAGATTGGTAACTGGATAAATAATAAATAACCAACACACTTAGATCTATTCATGTATAAGACTGTCTTATCATTTTTGGGTTTTTGAAAAGTCACTGAGATATTTTAGTTAGTTGACAACTCTAATGGTTTTAAAGCCTGATGCCTTTAGGATACAGGGACTCTCCTTTATTGATCTGGGGATAGATTTTAATGACATTATTCAACAGAAAGTAAAACTTTTCCTATCTTCCTGATTTCTTTCTAGGTCTGAGATTTGCCATTTGGTCAACTCAAATTTAAGTGTCCTTATTTAATGCTGCAATTCTTGTGACCTTACTGGGAGAGATTAGTGAGTGCATTTAGGAGATGAACTTTCCACACTATTATAGGCTTGCTTAATATAAGATTTTCCTTTTTAATGCTCTCAGATTTCTGCTGGGGAAGACCATCTGAAAAATATGATAGAAAGGGCTGGGGTTGTGGTTCAGTGGTAGAGCGCTCGCCTAGTGTGTGCAAGGCCATGAGGCCCTGGGTTCGATCCTCAGTACCACATTGTGTCCACCTACAACTAAAAGAATTAAAATAAATTTTAAAAAAATATGATAGGAAAAGGGCCCTTACATTTAATGCCTGAACATGCAGATTCCTACAGGGAAAATTAGAAGGCACAGTTTTACAGGTTAGCATTCTACATTAATTAAAAAAAAAAAAAAACATTCGCCAGAATCTTCTGGTGAGCATGTAATGGGAACAAAACTTTCCCCAATCAAACCATCTTTAGCAATAGTGATATTTACAACATTTTCTGAATACATAGTAAAAAGAAAATTGTGTAATTCATTCATTTTGAAACATTCTAACCTATCCCAAGCCCTTATCAGGTCCTTTAAAAGAGTTACTTAATAAATAAAACTAAACTTGTTATGGTGTTACTTTCAGGTTTTAGATAGAGGACAAGGTTTTCCTTTGGATTGATAGTTTGTATTTTAAGCCAAGTAGGAAATGAAGCTTTGAGTCAGTTTGAAGTAACAACATGTAAAATGAAGAGACTAAATTGTATCCTTTGATAAGCAGGTAACATTTCTAGATTCCTACCATCTAGTATAGGCTTCTTATTTAGCCAACACAAAGGTATCTGAACAGTTAGTGACTCACTCCTGTCTTGTGTACAAGGAGATAGCCAAAGAGCCCTAAGTAATTGCCTCTTCTCCAAAACATAAACACTAACAAACCTCACTGAGCAGTTTGCATTTCTTTTTAGAGTGTCATTTTCTTTTAATGAGTACATTGCTGGAATTCTCATTCTTTAACTCTGCAAGTTAAAGACTAAAGAGATATTGGTGTCTGTGTGCTATGAGTATGTATTTCTGATGCAAGCTACATGTTTTACAAACAAAAATCAAGTTCAGAGAACACAATAACCTTCAAGTCTTAAGTGTTGCCTTCTGACATTCAAGCGGATAAAAGAGTGATAGGGAGTCTGTCTACATCTCAGCTTTCTTCTCCTTAGCAGATATTCTATAATGAACACTCATAGCAGCCAACAGAGTGAAAGCATGTTTTACCAGATTATCAGTTAGAAACTGTGTTGGCAGCAAGTTAGTTGAGCAGTTACAGATGCAATAATAACTTCATCAGGACTAGTGCTTTGTTGCAGAGTGAATTAGTCTGAGGGACTTACTTCTTATCGATAGGTTCCTTGTTATTGGTAAGCACGTGTTTGAGAGAGTTAATGTTTTTAGTCACTGAGGTGTTTTAAATATGTGTTCTTTTCTTTCTTTCTTTCTTTCTTAATGTGATACTTTGTGTGTGCCAGCTATTGAAGGAAACCAATGTACCTCTTTTGTTTTTAACATAGAAACCAAGCCAGCAAAGGTGCTGCTTTACAGTCTCACCATAGATCCAACAGCAAGGACATTCAGAACTTAAGTGTGGGTCTACCCCGGGCTGACGAAGGCCTTCCTGCCAATGAAAGCTTCCTGAATGGAAACCTTGCTGGAGCTACTCTTAGTCCGATGCACACCAAAACCTACCAAGCAAGCACCCAGCCTGGGTCTGCCAGCAAAGATCTCACCAACAACAACATACCACATCTTCTCAGTCCAAAAGAAGCCAAGTCCAAAACAGAGTTTGACTTTAATATTGATCCGAAGCCTTCAGAAGGCCCAGGCACAAAGTACCTCAAGTCCAGCAGCAGATCTCAACAGAACCGGCACTCATTCATGGAAAGCTCTCAGAGCAAAGCCGGGACACTGCAGCCTAGTGAAAAGCAGAGTCGGCACAGCTACATTGACACCATTCCCCAGTCCTCCAGGAGTCCCTCCTACAGGACCAAGGCCAAAAGCCATGGGGCATTGAGTGACTCCAAATCTGTGAGCAACCTTTCTGAAACCAGGGCTCAAATCACAGATACCAATACCAGTAGGTACTTCCCATCCAGCTGTTTGGACTTGAACTCTCCCACCAGCCCAACTCCCACCAGGCACAGTGACACGAGAACTTTACTCAGCCCTTCAGGGAGAAATAATCGAAATGAGGGCACTCTGGACTCACGCAGAACCACAACTAGGCATTCCAAAACAATGGAGGAGTTGAAGCTGCCCGAACACATGGACAGCAGCCATTCCCATTCGCTGTCTGCACCTCATGAGTCCTTCTCTTATGGGCTAGGCTATACCAGCCCCTTCTCTTCTCAACAGCGTCCTCATAGGCATTCCATGTATGTGACCCGGGACAAAGTGAGAGCCAAAGGCTTGGACGGAAGCTTAAGCATAGGGCAAGGGATGGCGGCCAGAGCCAACAGCCTACAACTCTTATCACCTCAGGTACAGCTCAGCACCTTGACCCAGTCTGGTGGCTCATCATGGGAAAAGGGGGTACAAGGGATGCTTTCGGGGTCAGTCTGCGATTTTACCTACTGTAGGAGGCCATGCTTTCTTTGGTAGAGTGAATACAAAGAAGCAATACTGGACTGTTGTGTTAAAAAAAAAAATTAAATCAACTGTTGAGTACTCAAAAGAATGTAAAAGTTTGTTTTTAGTAATCTGTTTCTTTTCTTAAATGTTCCCTTCTGCATATTTTGTTGAAAGAATCCTATTTTGATTTATTACAGAACTCATCAGCTATATGGGTTAGCTTTTAGTTTTCTCAAAATTCAGTGTGAATTCATGGGTATTTTCTGTAATCAGTCTAAACCACATTTGCTTAAATCAAACCTTTTTTCTAAGGCTTTCTTCAATATCTTTACTGAATTTAAAAGTCTTTAATTTATCCAGAACTACAGATAAATTTAACTTCAGGCCAGGATAAATGTTAATTTTCGGACTTTATGGGTTGTGTCTAAACCTTCAGGCAATAATTTTAGCATAATGCTTTTCCATCTTATTCATCATCAGACTCTAGAACTGAGACTAACCTGCTTAAAGAAGTAGCATTCCTATAATAGAACACATTTTTAAATCATATTTTCATGATTTCATTTATAAAGCACTGTGCCCAGTGCCTGGCACAGGGTAAGTGTCTAACAAATTTCAGCCATTCCTGCTGCTCCTTTGTGATGGTGGGAGCTGTTATTCAGTGAACATCGTCTTGGTGCTGGTTGTTCCCAGGTACTCCAGAGAGTCCCAAATAGAGTTCTTGCCCTTGAGAAACCAGCTTTTCTCAGGAAAGATTCAATTATACATGCTGACAATGAAATAATTAAGGTATAATTAAGGCCTACGTTCACATGGCACTGGCTAGGAGTAGGATTGAGAATAAGGAAAGATCGCTGTGAGCAGCAGCAGTCAGAAATGGCTTTTGGGGGCAGGTTTGCTCTGGTGAGGATATAGACAGGTGCTGAGTGGCTGAAGAGTGAATATGCGCTCAGGCACCATGAGAGGCCCTAGTTAGAAAGAGGAGAATGACAGGGTCGCTGTCCTCTTAGAGTTTGTGGGCTAGCAGGGATCACACTTGCCAACAGATCAGTCACTCTGATGCTGTGGGGTCGAGTTCCAGCTGCTGTACCAAAGACACACATGTGTTCCAAAGGGAGAGGAAGCAGTGTGGCAGTCCAGGCAGGGCAGTGGGAGGCTCCTCAAGGAGGCAGCATCTGAGTAGAGTCCTCCAAGAGGGTTAGGATTTCATTTGGGGATGAAAGTGAGGGCAACAGCAGGAAAGGGGCTTGAAAGAAGCAAAGAAGAAGAAAAACATTCCAAGGGGGCAGAGGGTGACAGAGACCTGACATAGCATAGTGTGCTGCAGGGATTGCAACTGGCTTCATGTTCCTGGAGGGGAAAATGCAAGAATTGGAGTGGCTTTTGCAGTCATGCACACATGAGGAGAGTGTGTTCAGGACTGAGTGAATGCCAGTGGGAAAACAGTATGGATGTTAATAACTGCTCAGAAGTAGAAACAAGTGGTCTTTCAAGTTGCAGGGTTGAGTATAGAGAAATGGAAGCTTGAAGGTTTCTTTCCTAGGCGTTCCTTTCCTTTTCCCAGTGGGAGAGGGAATTTTTACAGCCCATTAAGTCACTACCTTCATCTCACAGAGACTCAGAGAAGGTAGGTGAGTCGCCCAAGTTTACCCAACTAGAGCAAGGTGGATCCTGGGATTCTGAGACAGTCTTCAGGTCCCCAGGAATGCTCTAAGAAGCTGGAAAGGCCAGATGAGGGGAGGGCATGAGGTACCAGTTTGCAGAGGCCATAAATGGAGTCACAGGAATGGTCAGAGGAGCCCTGAGGAGTTGCTGTAGAGAGAAGAGAACTTCAAGAACATGGAAAGATCTCTAGGACCCACCTGCCCATAGACATGAGATGGAGGTCAAAACCAGGTAAAGTGTGCTGGCAGTAAGCATAGTATCAGAGAAGTAAGAAAAAAAAAAAAAAAAAGATGGTTTTGCTTGGGAAAAGGACAAATGATTGGCTCTTGGTGAATTCAGGGAAAAAAAATGATTTTTGTGAACATGGTTGTCCTAAGCTAATTATAAGCAATTAGTGTGGGCTAAGTACAGATCCAACTGTTACTGAAGTCCAGTTCAGGAGGTGCAGAACCAAGCTGCAGCAAAGTACACATTTAAAGGAGCAAAGGTGGCAGAAGGCTTGAAAGGTAATGAAAGCTGTGAATGAATCATAGGAATCATACAAAGTATGTGACCACCTTTAGGTTAGACACAAAAAACTTGTTTTCTAAAATATTTTTCTAGAGGCCCTTGTCAGCAGCATAGGTGGTAAGAGTCAAATAAGATTGTGTCACAAAGCAGAAAGAAGAAAGGCAGCACTGTGGAAATTCTTGCCCAGAGTCCTCCAAATACCCCAGAGAGTGAGGGGCAGAAAAACAGAATCATATTTTAGATTTTATTTTATTAATATTTATTTTTTAGTTTTAGGTGAACACAATATCTTTATTTTACATTTATGTGGTGCTGAGGATCAAGCCCAGTGCCTCATGCATGCTAGGCAAGCACTCGACCACTGAGCCACCATATTTTGACCACCCCAGCCTCCATATTTTAGATTTTAAATAAAACATTTTTTATATCTCACTTAGGCTTGAGCTAATACTCTTTCTGTGCCTTAATATACACCTATATGATTCAACTAACTCCCCCTAATGAGCTGGTAATGCATTCCTTAATCGTTTTCTCTAAAGTGTAGAAAATGTGAAAATTGTCCCCGTTGGGTACCATTGTAGATCAAGTGCTGTGTTGAGGCTGTGACTCATTTTTTTGAGAGAGCTAGGTAGTAATAGCCTCTCCAGAAAGGGACACTGTCATCATTATGGCTGAGAAATACAGAGAACCTAAGTGCTGTTATCCTGGAGACAAGAAGAAAATTTAAAGCACATAGACTATGGGATTTAGGGACTTTCAAGACAAAAATTAATAAGAGGACTTATTCCTTGATTCATTCCAGAAGCATTTATTTTCATTTGAATTGGCTATATGAGTTCTTTCTGAAAAATAATTTTGGTTCTGGACAGTTCTTTTTAGAGAACTCAGACTAAAATCAGCTAGAGGACTTTTGGATTGACTAATAGACAACCATAGTGCTGCTCAGAACCATGACATCTAGATATTAGAAAGAGGTTTTTTGTTTTGTTTTGTTTTTAATAATTAATTGGACTATTTTCAGATTAATTTATTCCTTGCTTGCCTTAACTTTAATGAGAATTTCGCTTTCCATCTGTTGAAATTTGTTCAGCTTATTTTATATTCATCAGATGATTCACTCTTTCCTAGGACAATTTATGTTTTAGACAACATTTTTTAAATTTTAGTCGGTTAAGCTACTAGTTATACTAGGCTAGATGTAGTGTCACACACTGTAATCCCATCTACTTGGGAGGCTGAGGCAGGAGGATCACAAGTTTGAGGCCAACCTAGGCAATTTTTTAGCAAGACCCTTTCTCAAAAGGGTCTTGGATGTAGCTAAGGATGTAGCTTATGGGTAGGGCACCCCTGGATTTAGTCCCCAGTTTACTAAATAAAGACCATGTTGATTTTCATCTGTAGGAATAGGATGCTCGTATAAATCTTTTTGAATTTGACTTTCAGCCTGGAGAACAGCTCCCTCCAGAGATGACTGTGGCGAGACCTTCTGTCAAAGAGTCCTCCAGAGAAGGCACCTCTTCATTCCACACTCGTCAAAAGTCTGAGGTCTGAATTCTTCCTGAGTTGCTATGTTTTACTATAGGATGGTCTGTACAGATTATTCACTCGGCATCATTACAGCCTAGCTGGTAAACTTTATTCATACCCAACCTCCCACAAATAAGTTAGACTGCCTTCTAAAGGAAGCCATTTTCCTCATGGCATTTTCTTGGGTTTTCTTTTCAAAAGATCCTGGATGAAATTATCGATTGATTGGGCTCTGGTCTGACCTCATAGGTGACACTGTCATCAGCCTGTGGTTTAACTTCTATAAACTTGTTTCCTGCCTTAGGGTGGAGCGTATCATGACCCACATTCTGACGATGGCACAGCCCCCAAAGAAAACAGACATCTGTACAATGATCCTGTCCCCAGAAGAGTTGGCAGCTTTTATAGAGGTAAGCCACCCCCAGCATTAAGCAGGGTCCTCCTCTTTTCTCTGAGGAGTGCATCTCTAGCCCAAGCCCTGCACTACATTTTCCACACCCTGACTGACTTCAGACCTGCAACGTTCTTGCCTGCACTGTCACCTCTAGCAATTCTCTGCCTTTGTCTTCATTCAGGCCCTCCTACCTTCTGCCTTGGGCTTGAGCTTCCTAACCTTCCCGTCTCCAAGGTACCCATCAAAATAGTCCCTGAAATAATCCTTCTGAAGTTGCATTCTGACCATACCACTCATTCATTCCATTTAGTCATAAAATACTTATGAATGTCACCTGTGTACCTGGTACTAGTCTAGCTTAAAACAAATATGTCAATGGGCAAGACAGCTAAAGATGTCCATCCTAATGGAGCTCACATTCTCAGGAAAGATTGCCAGTAAATGTAATCCATTACCCCCACCCCCAAAACCCTAATTCTCACCTGTTGAAAGGCCCTTGATGGCTTCCCATTGGCATCAGGACAAAATCTGAATTGTCTAAGATGGCATTCCAGACTGTCTGTGGTCTCGCTGCCAAGTCTGACTGGTACCCAGCCTGTGGGATTTGCACAGGCCATGCCCTTTAATGGCTTGAAACACATTCATCTTCCCTTGTTTGAAGAGCTTGTTCCTGTCTTTTTCTTTATAGTCCTCTTCGTATGAGATCTTCCCTACCTACCCTAGATGAAGTATTTCCTCCTCTGTCCTACTCACAGTACCATGCCTCTTATACAATGCAGACCACATTGTACTCATTCTCTGTCTGCATTTCTCTCAGAAGGTTGTAAGCCTCTCAGAGATGCTGAGTTCTTGGACTGGGGGTGTAGCTCATTTAAAGAGCACTCACCCAGATTATGGGAGGCCTGGATTCAACCCCTAGTACTGCAAAAAAAAAAAAAAAATCTGATTTCTCTTCATCTGTTCTTCTTTTGATTAGCATACTGACAGGGCACAGTTTCATAAATATTTATTGTTTGAATTAAAGGAAAATTTCAAGTGTGTTTTCTACTTGCACAGCCTTAAAAATATGATGTTTAACAGTTGACTGAAATGTGCATCTGGGATTATTTGAACTTAGGGGACATTGATAGAGAAAGACAAACCCTTTGGAGTGGTAACTAAAACCCTTGGGAACTAGTACCCTGGTGGAGAAAGGACAGTAAGCCCACAGGTAGGAGGCTCTGCCTTGCAAATCCTTTAAGAGTCACCGCAGCCTTCTTTTATTTGTTGCTGGGAATTGAACTCATGGCCTTGTACATGTGAGGCAAGCATTCTACCATCAGTGTTGTTTTTATTTCCAAAATAAAAACATACACAAGAATACTTGGGGCTGGGGATGTGGCTCAAGCGGTAGCGCGCTCGCCTGGCATGCGTGTGGCCCGGGTTTGATCCTAAGCACCACATACAAACAAAGATGTTGTATCTGCCGAAAACTAAAAAATAAATATTAAAAATTCTCTCTCTCTCTCTCTCTCTCTCTCTCAA